TTCAGTTGCTTTCCTTTGCATAAAAAGTGAATTCCCCGGTAAACCCCGAGGGGGTGTCCGGGGACTTCAAATGACTGGTGCAGTAATCCGTTTTTCAAGAGTCGTGCAATAACAACAAACGAAATTCAGATCTGTTTTTCAAATAACAAGCCATACAAAAACGAAATTCAAATCCGTTTTTCAAAGTGATGTGAAAACGAAAAACGAAATTCATATCCGTTTTTCAAAGTGATGCGAAAACGAAAAACGAAAAACGAAGTTCAAATGCGTTTTTGAAAGTGATGCGAAAACGAAAAACGAAAAACGAAGTTCAAATGCGTTTTTGAAAGTTAGGCGAAAACGAAAAACGAAAAGCAACATTCAAATCTGTTTTTCAATGTCATACCAAAACGAAAAACGAAAAATGGAAATGGAATTTGAATTCCATTTTCCCATGCCATCGAAAAACGGTTGGCACTAAGGTACACGCATTTAACCCCTTTGCAAAATCCCGATTTTTTGGACTTTTTTAAGACTTTATTTTTCTGGTCCAAAAAGCATTCTTTTTTATTCAGAACGATCTTTTCTTTTTAAGTTAGTCAAAATAGGTCAGGAAAATGTGTTTGACGATATTCTAGAAAGGAAAAAAGCATTTTTACAGTATGAAAACAAGACGATAAAAAAGTAAAAAATAGGGATTTTTCAAAGGGATTAGTCCCTAATTTTGGTCAAAAATTTGAAGTTTCTCTGTTTCTGTTTTAGTCAAAATTGACCAGAAAAATGTGCTTATAGAAATTCTAGACAGGTGAAAACACTTTTTAGACTATTAAACAAGAAGTTAGAAAAGTCACAAATAGGGCTTTTTCAAAGGGGTAAGTCCACGATTTTGGTCAAAAATTTGAAATTTTTCCTGGTTTTTAACTTAGTCAAAATAGGTCAGGAAAATGTGTTTGACGATATTCTAGAAAGGAAAAAAGCATTTTTACAATATAAAAACACGAAGTTAAAGAAGTCGAAACATTGGGATTTTTCCAAAGGGTTAGTCCATGGTTTAAATCGAAAATTTGAAAAATTTCCCTGTTATTATTGTAGTCAAAATAAGCCAACAAAAGGTGTTTGGAGAATTTCTAGGAAAAAAGTCTCTTTAAACTATGAAAACAACAACAACAACAACAACAAGTTTAAAGTTTGCTTTTTTTCTAAAGAAGTTAGCCCATGATTATGGTCAGGAATCTAAAAATTTTCCTTCTCTTTATTTTAGTCAAGATAGGCTTGTTTAAAGATATTCTAGGAAGTAAAAAAGTCTTTCTAGACTATGAACACAGAAAGTTAGAAAAAAGGCGAAAAATTGGGATTTTTCCATACAGCAAAGTCCATCATTTTGGTGAAGAATTTGAAACTTTTCGCTATTTTTAGTTTAGTCAAAATAGCCCAGGAAAATGTGTTTAAAGATATTCTAGAAAGGAAAAAAGCCTTTTTGGACTGTAGAAACAAGAAGTTAAAAAAGTCAAAGAATTGTCATTTTCCCAAACGGATTAGACCATGATTTTGGTCAAAAATTTGAAACTTTTCCCTGTTTTCATTTTAGTCAAGATAGGCCAGGCAAATTTGTTGGACGATATTCTAGAAAAAAAAAAGCGTCCCGAAACTATGAAAACAGGAAGTTAAAAATTAAAGTTAAGAAATAGGATTTTTCCAAAGGGGTTAGTCCATGGTTTTGGTCAAAAATTTGAAATATTTTCTTGTTTTTATTTCAGTCAAGATAGGCCAGAAAAATGTGTTTGACGATATTCTAGAGAGGAAAAAAGCCTTTTCAAACTATGAAAACAGGAAGTTAAAAAAGTTGAAAAATTTCATTTTTCCAAAGCGGTTAGTCCACGGTTTTTGTCAAAAATTTGAAATATATATATATATATTTAGTCAAGACGTACCAGAAAAATGTGTTTGACGACATTCTAGAAAGGAAAAAGAGCCTTTTTAGAGAGTGAAACAAAAAGTTAAAAAAGTCGTAAAACTGGAATTTTTTCAAAGAAGTTAGTCCATGGTTTTGGTCAAAAATGTGAAACTTTTACCGGTTTTTATTTTAGTCAAAATAGGCCAGGAAAATGTGTTGGACGATATTCTAGAATGGATAAAGACCTTTTTAGACTATGAAAACACGAAGTTAAAGAAGTCGAAAAATTGGGATTTTTCCGAAGGGTTTCCGAAGGGTCCATGGTTTTGGTTAAAAAATATAACTTTTGTTATCTTTTAATTTTAGGCAAAATAAGCCGTGAAAATTTGTTTTAACATTTTCTCGATAGAAAAAAAAAGCCGTACTACGCAATAAAAAACATCGCCTAAAAAAATCGGAAATGAGCATTTTTCCAAAGTGGTTTGTCCATGAATAAAATAAACAAACTCGGTCGCGATTTCTGATTTCAAAGCAGTCCGTAAGAGCGTCAAAGTTTGGGGACATCGTGGATAAACTCTATTGCGGCAGTTGTAGACAAATGTCTTCTAAGTCAGAATAATCTAGAGAGAATAGCATGTGGTCTGCTTTTGTGTTGATTTTCAGTGTGATTGTTCACTAAACAATCAACAATACTGAGATATCTAACTTGCTAACAATCTGTTTAGTTTGACGTTAAAATATAATTGAAGTACAAAAGAAATTGTCCCCTCCCTGACAGTATTTGTGTTGTTAGAAACACTCCCTTTCCCCAACGTTTAAGCCCAAAGTTTTTCTCCTCCGGTGGACGTTCATCGCAAAGAATACTGAGGGGAGGCTAGGGAAAGAATATAAATAAGTAATCGAGAATGATAAGAGAACGCAAGTAAAGACTGGTCTATAAAGTTTATTTTTTCCCAAGCAGTGGAGAATAAATAAATGTCACTCAAATTTGGTACGATACAAACTACTTCTCCATTTCACACTGGTATAAATTATTAAGCTGTGTATTTATATCAGACAAAACAGATGACCAATGCTTAAAGGTCAAACAAATAACTTTTCAACAAACACCATGTGAACTATTAAACCTTTCCAATCCATACTACAGACCAATTGTTCGTCTGAGGCAGTCTTATTTAACACAACCTAATAATTTAGACGGGTTATAAGGGCCAAATTCGTCTCTTACCAATGCCATAAAAAAAATTCAAGTAGGACAGCGTACGACGGTGATGGCAATGTCTAAACTCTCTCTCTCCCTCTCTCTGAATAAAATGCAGGTTTTCTGAAAAGCCAATTTTCAGTCCTGATCTTCTGAAATCAGGGATTTGACGGGTCATGTCGAAACCAGTCAATTCCTAAAACCTTTTAATACAAGTGTCGGAAAACAATAGCCATACTTGTAATTTAAAATTGCAAAAGCGAATGACCCTTAAGGTTATGCCTTAAGACGTAAGTTAAGTCTATCCCAACGATCGTTAAAAAGATCTTTCCATTTACCTGTTTAAGACGCCGGACATTTTCCCTCAGCAATCACAGGATTGGTTGCAAAATAGAAACCAGGCTTAACTGGGATACTTCAATGATGTGTCTCTTTGTTTTCCGTCCTTTTAAGATCTTTACAACTAAACGAAGAATACTGTTATTATTAAAGAACAATGGTCTCTAGAATAGATTAGAACAGTCTAAGAGTGTAAACGAATGATAGGACATAAAATAAGTTACCAGAAATTTTAGCTGTCAAGAAATGCATTGGAGGCAGCATGCGTAAAAAGGAAGAAACAGAGCGGTTTATTTAAATCAATGTCTTGATTAGCTGTTCATTGTAACATTGTGGAAGGCCTTCGCCAATCACTCACCCAAAATGCAGAAAACTGAAGCACAATGTTAGCTCACTCGCCAGCTTTTTTGCAGTCGACGGCGGGGGCTTTCTGTACTTAAGCAATGATCTTATTGGTTCATTTAATGGCCTCTGCGTAATGGTAGTGGCCATGGTATTGGCCAGGGACGGGTTGCTCAAAGCTGGGTCAAACTAACCCAAGGCTGCTGCGAAATTTGAATTCAGCTATGAAAGCTTAAGAATCGAATTCACATTAATTGTTTTTGTCTACAATTTGATGATTGGATGCTCTGAAGAGAATGAAAAACATTATTGAAGAAAATGCTTTTTAGCAAAAGAAAAATAAACTTGGAGGATTAGAATTTAACTCGGGGTTAGCGCTAATTAGCCTTCCAACAACTAGGCCCAGGGTATTAACGTCGGTTTGGGTATAGAAAAAACAAGGTCAAAACTTCATGTATCCGACATAGATGACGTAAAACAAAAGACCTCTTTGTTTTCTGTTCAGGGAAAAATCTGCTTAGCATTGTTTCATTGTTTTTGTTCTTTCGTTTTATGTTATCTGTGTCTGGCAAACGAGGTAAATGCCGAAAAGAACCTCGTTCCAAATGTCTCTTGACATTCTCTAACTTTGAAGTTTTCCTGTAAAAGCTGAAACAAGACCTCGTTACACGAGTTCATGGTTTAAACCACACCACAACGTTTGCCAGCGAAGTCCACATCGAGGATGGAAATTTTCCTCATTGCCCTCGAAAAAAGTGATCACACTTCACAATGAGCCAAAGAATTTGAAAACTGCCGATGACATGACATTTCTGTAAAATACGGCAAGACGTATAATTTTTTTCCGTCCCTGAGTACTTAAATAGGCATGTTATTATATCAAACTACACTTAATATGATGATGGAAGGTTTAAAGTGAAATGCGTGCAAATATGAAAAGAGCCATGTCCACCCGGGTAAAAATACTGACAACAACACTGTCTCCGTTCCATTAAAACCAAACACAAACAGCAAACATTCTGATGTTTAAGGCTGGATAAGCTCTCTCCTCATCTTTTCTTGAGTACGACAAGGAATCTGACCAAGTTATACATCGGGTTCAACCATTGAAAAAAAAACACCAAGCAAGCAAGAAGCGTGTGTTCTTCAGCATTATCACGGCATACGCTGTCATATAGCCATCCTTTTTAGTTGTACACATCGTAAAAAGTTTCTAACTTGAACACATCTTATCTTGAAAGGGCATCATTTGTCCGGTTGATGCAATCCGTTAAGTGGCATCTCTGATGATTCTGAAACGAAAGGAGACAATGTGCATTATAACAAACACAAGGAGACTTCCATTTTGATATTCATGCCCCGACATGTAATTAAGAAACAGGAAATAACTTCCTAAATGGGCAATGATTATAAAAAAGAAAAACAAACAAACAAATACTAGCAACTGTTACCTGGTTCGCGAAGGGCTTCCGGATCTCCCGCAAGTTCTGAAGGGGCAAGACAAAAAAACTGATCAGCTGATTCATGGAAGCAACCGATCAAGTAGGTCGTTAGGAAAGTCTACACAAATGTTTGTGTAAACCTAGTGCACAGTGGCACAGCACACTGCAGAGCTCTCAAAGCCGTCAGTCTTACACAACCCTTTCTTTTCTAGGGTCAACACTCGAGACACAGGACCAATGACGCAACTCATTAACAACTCTGGATATCCTCTCTTGGAAGTGTGTCACTGGAATCTTAAAACGCTTACCCTACACAAGACCATTCTAAGCTGCATTCTGAGACGATTTCGCACTGAACTCTCCATGTTATCGAATAATATCCTAACAAAACTGATCCGTTTTCCAGCAAAAGGTACTATTAGTCTTCTGAAAGAAATTTTCCTCTCTGGAGTTCATTTACCTGGTAATCCGTCTAGGTGTGCGATAACAGCCGGAGATCCCTCAGTACGGCTTTGTTCCTCTGCAATTCTGGCTTGCAAGTCAGCCTGAGGACACCAAGGCCAGAAGCACGTTAAACCACATCCTCATGAATTAAATTCTCTTCAATGCTCACACCACAAATCTGTACTATCCGACTTGGGAGAGCTACAATCAGCGACAAAACTGTTGAGACACCCCTGCCCTCCATTCAAAGGTGGGGCGTTTGTTGTTTTCTAAAGATGGCTCGAACAGCGGCACAACATTGCATGGAGGGGATTGGGGAGGGAAAGCTTTATTTTCCTTTTTGTAAGTTATCAAAACGTTGAAGAGGCCCTTTAGGGCGAAGTGTCTCGACCACTCTTGTCACCGATTGTACCTAATTTGACAAGATATTGCATTTCCATCTTGCTTACCTCCGTTAACCCAGTCAATTTAGTAGGAAGGTCATCTAGCGCAACCTCGATATCCCCTTGACCATTCACGACCTATAACAGACAAAATAACAAACATGGACTTGGTACTATCAACATCAGCCATTAAATCATTAAACAACAAAAAGCTTATGAGATGTCCGTTTACCGCTGACTTGTTTAATCAGATTTTTTTTACAGAATGGTTATCTGACTTGCCCTAGGCATTGACAGCGCAAAATTGCTGAGAATTACACTACTGGGGTTGTGAAACGACATGAAATAGTAATACTATTGTTATTAGTATTACATGCACAGGCAGAGTGATAAATAGATGGCTTTTTCCCTTGGAGTTTGAAGCACTAAATGGGGAATTTGTAACATTTATCCCCTACGGTCTCCCAAATAAGTTTTTTGAACATATTAGCTTACTTGAATGTCTACTTACAAGTGTCAATGAATTCAACTTACCTGTCCATTTTGCAGATATGGGATAACACCTGCAGCTGCAGCAGCTTCAGCAGCCGCCTCTACAGCTTGTTGCTGCTCATCCTGAGGAGCTCCATTTTCGTCACTGTCGCTGGGTCCGTCCCTGTTGTTTCCTTGATCTCTGTTAGCAGCGGCAGCAGCCGCTGTGCTTCCTTGGTATTCCTCCAGCTTTCGTCTGGCATCAGAGTCGTCAAATGATTCCTCGCCGTCTTCTTCACCGCTCCCAAAACTAAAATAAAAAGTAGGAGATGAACAAAGATACGTATTGTAGACCGGTCAAGATGCCACAGGTAGAGCAAGAAGGAGAGAAAACACATGCAATCCTATCCAGACGCTTTACAGTCGCTTTAGTTAAATACCACTTTTAGCTTAAGACGTCACGAACTTTATCAACACTTATGCCATACTCACACCAACTAAACATGTTTAATTAAACCAGGTGTTAAGAAATGAAAAACAGACACGGGAAACTGGAACACAGGTTTTTACAAAGGATTCAAATGTAATTTAACATATTTTGTAATTTGCACTAAATTTGCAATCAACTTAAGTCAGTAAGCGGCTTTTATGAAGGGAACAATTTTAGACCGTGTTTAAGTAAACAGCTTTTAAACATTAAGCTTTGGTGTGAATGAGGCTTTGGATAACTTCATTACTTCTCTCCTCTACTGTGTGATGGCGTTACAAATATAATGCCTAGACAATATTTTCGGGATCTTTCTTCTCACTAGAAGATAAAATTAGGAGAGACCATCCTCATGGGGATTACTTTGAACCAGAGTCAATAAAGTACCTTGAAAAAGGCTTTGATTCACTGGCTGATAGCTCCAACTTAAAACAATTCTGAAATTAGAGTAAATTAGAAACAGAATATTATTGTAACTGCTAAAGCTGCTGAAACTAATATCAGTCAATCAATCAATCAATCAACCAAACAATCAAACAACCAACAAACCAATCAATCACACAATCAATCCCACGATGAGGGACAAAACGAATTAATTGATTCAGCAAGTCAGTGTAACAACTAACAGGAGACAAATATCGCCAGCAATATTAAAAAGAGTAACCACTAAAAAAGGAAATAATTTACCTGTGGAGAATCCAAATTGCTCTTATCCTGTACACTACAGACACAGACAACAACGCTTCTGTTAGGTACGTATGGTTCACTTTATGATAAAGTGAGTGAAAGGCCAAGAAAGGAAAAGGTTTAGTCGCTTATCGACTGAGTTGCTTGTTTGTTTCATCAGAACAAGCTCTCTTCATTTGTACAATATGCAAAATAACAACATGACACGTCTATCCAATTTAACGTTTAAGAATATCTTTTTTGCAATGTGAGTTTACCTTGACGATCTCTCTTCAAACTGATTTGCCATGACGTCATCTCGCACCTTAAAACGTAATAAAACTGATAATTTAGAAAAAAAATATTCCTTTCGTTTCTCACTGTTACTAACAGGGGTTTAAAGAGATCGTAGGAGAGAATTTGAAGGGCTAAAGGGTGAGGCAAGACGACAGTAGGTATTAGTAGAGAGCTTTCAAAATAAGTGTAAATTATTGTTAAAAGTCTATTTTAACCACATAATTGATGAAATATTTTATATTGAGCCGAGTCTAAGAAATTACGTGTTTTGAAAATTTACAAACCTTTCCAAGCTCTTCTTCCTCAGCTTCTTGTTGCTCCTTAGTCATGGGCATAGTAGCTACCTCCTCTTCCTCCTCCTCGTCATCTTCTGGTCCTTCATCATCCGCACCCTCGTCTTCGGCTCCTGACTCCTCGGATGAGGAGGAGTCTTCAGTACTGCTTTCTTCTTCCTCCTCATCTTCGTTTTCCTCGCCCTCTGCCTCTTCACGTTCACCAGCAGCCCCGACCACCTCGTCTTCTACAGCACTAAGCGCCAACAACAAGCAAAAGTCAATTCATGCAGATAACGCTTAACTAACTAGCTCTGACAGCATTGTATTACGCCTCAATCGTCCTCTACTGAATGCTAAAAAGGTAATTTTAGTCTGCTAAGAGAGGTTCTTCATGCATCAAAACTTAGCAGGGTATCGCATCGTATTCACCTCTCCTAAATCGAGGACGTGAGGTTCAGTTCGTTTATAACACAACGAGTCCTGAGCTCAATGCAACATCTATTTCAAGATAACAGCCTCTCAAATTAAGGCCCTATGAATTAATCTTGCAACCATCAAGCAAATACACAATCAAAAAGTGCAGAGCGACAAAAAAACTTCACGTGCACTTATAGGTGTACCTGTCTTCCGGGGCATGCTCATTCTTTTCTTTGGTTTCATCAGCGTCCTCTTTATCTCCCTCCTGTCCAGTTCCAGTGTCCGTGCTGGCGGAATCAAATCCCTGGTGCAACACAGCATACAAGACTAGGTTAACCCTACAATCCGTCAAAGTGACTAATGTTTAATTTCCCCTTATGGTAACCCTGCTCAGTCAAAGGCAAAGTCCTCCAGATAAAAGGAAAGGATCATCAAGTGAAAAAGGTCTAGATTGCAAAACGATTTCCTCTCATTAATACAACAGGAAATGTACGAGGAACAGTGTTGATAATTTGCACATTGATATAAGGGTTTAAGGGTTAAAACAAAAAACTGACTGCCGAGCACTTCTCTTCATACCACTAGTAAGAAGAGAGAAGCGTACTGACCTAGTTGCTACTACTACTTAGTACTGCTACTAATTACTTCAAATACCATAACTACTAGGAACATTAGTTGATCATAGCTAAGGGAAATAACCAAAAACAGTAAACATTAAAAACCAAAGATCAAAGTAACTAAGTATTTACATTATTAGGGAAACGAAGTCTTATAATACTTTACAGAAACAAAGAGAAGCACATTCCCTTACATAATGCTGCCACTAATCATACTCCACTTGAGTGCAAGCTAATGTTTGAAGAAAAACAAACAAACAAACAAACCAACAACAAAAACAAAACAGACATTAACAGATGCAATGGTTTGGGCACCGAACATTGGCGGTAAAAACTAACCTGTCGCCATGTTAGTCTTTGACTCACTGCACGAGTTCTGTAGAACATGGAAAGGAATGATTAAGTCAATAGCAAAGTAATGTACACTGATAATTACACTTAATACACTAAATGAAATGGCGTGGAGACAAATAAGAGAAAAACCTTACCCATCTAGGTCTTGCATAAGTCTAAAAAACGCCAGCTCGTTAAAGAGAATCTCCGACATGTCTACCAGCATATCCTCACCACAGTCTTTCATCCTAGAAAGTGAAATTAATAACATTTTTCACTGCTTCTTTCGTACATCTTCGCGTTAATCTGATTGTCCCTCTAACTACAAGGCACACATTTTCCAAACTCTACATTTCCAGAAGTTTGATCAGATCGAGTCTTAGAGTTGGAATACTGCTAAAGAAACAAAATCCTTTCAAGGTTGTTTGTTGGTAAATCAATGGGCGAGCCTGTCCCTGATGTAAGATAACACGTCCAAATGCAAGTAAGGATAAACAACTACAAATATGAAAGCCAACTCACTTTCTATCTGCAAATCTAGAGAGTGAGTCCTGTAGAATGGAAGCCAACTGTTTATGAAAGAATCTACCAAATTCCTTTCACAAGAAAAGAACAATGTAACAAGTGAATAAACAATGAAAGTGATACACCAAGAAAGGAAGTTGCCTTTACCAAAACAGACGTATTAGTTCCAATTATTTGTTGACCTTTTCATAGCTGATACTTTAATCCATAATAAAACATGGATCTTTCCACCCTGTTCTATAAAAAGATCTCTGGTAGTAAGGTTGATAATCTGTTATCTTTGTTGACCATTTCGTTCATTCTCACGCTCTTCACGTCCAATCAATGACGACCACATCAAGGAGAAAGCAGAGGACGGCCATTGTGAGGGCGGGCGAATAGGCGAGAATCTCCTAGCTAATTGAATACCTACCCATCCAGACACAGGATGGTCGTCAATGGACGCCCCGTAGAGCAAAGAAAAGCTTACCATGTACTAGTCATCCTAGCACGTATCTACCTTAATAACTTAAGCTGAGAATTACCTGCTCTTCGTTGACCTGAATCCTTGATAAAACCAAGTTTCTAATGTACCCAAGCAGATCAGGGGAGCAGCTGTCCTCCATGTGCTCATTCAGATATGGAATCACTTCCTGAAGAAAGGCAACCATTCCAGACAACACTTTTAACAACACCTGCATGCAGCTAATTTACTTGAAGGATTTACAACCTTCGACCACTTCGTAGAAAAAGAAAGCCTGGTAAGATCATCTATGCACTGCCCAATTCATGCAAGTTGTCTTGAAAGTTGCATTTCAATATTTCCACAAAGATGGCAAAAAACGAGGTGAAAGGTGGTTATGTACAGAGAGCTACACTAAAACGAGGGGTTTGAAAAAAGGGGACAATGTTTCATCAAGTGCATGTATGTTTATTACACTCACCGACATGATGGATTTGATGAGATGGTCCAGTGCTTGTGTGTCAATCCTGGGATACTGTGGAACGATTGATTACTATTAGGGATCCTTAGGGACCACAAGGATTAAACCTATAACTAAGAACCTAGTCAAGACTGTACATGTATGTAAAAAAAATAAATATGAATACCGTAAAATTCCGAAAATAAGCCCCTCCATGTACAAGCTCCTCAGGTGTGTTTTGTAACTCCGTGGAAGTGTGGGGAATTTTGATATATTGTGGGGACCCTTGGGGACCAAAAAGATAAAACAAAAAAAAAAAAACCACACAAAAACTTAAAAGTAAAAAAAAAAAAAAAAAAATAAAACCCCAAAATTCCCCAAAAAAACCCCCCCCATTTAAAACCCCCCCCAAAAAAACCCCCCCCCCCCCCCCCCGCAAAAAAAAAAAAAAAACGGCTAACGCAAAAAACCCTCTCTTAAATCGCTCCTCCAAATACAAGGGGCTTGTACTTGGAAAATTGTCCTCAAATACAAAGTATATAACAAAGCAAAAACGGTAAATTTACTTCCAACTATATGGCTAGCCCAATCGATTTTGAAACGCAAATTTTTCTCCGTAGATAAGCCCCTCCAAATATACGCCCCTCCAAAAATAAGCCCCTCAAAAAGGGCATTTGAAAAATATAAGCCCCGGGGCTTATTTTCGGAATTTTACGGTATATCCCTTCTGAAGTAATGTGTTCATGACTGCTGATATGTTTCAAAGTATCAGGAAAGTTAGTGTTTAGCAAACGCGCCCTCAGTTCCCGAAGAAATGAGTTCTTTCTGTGCTTTTGTCCACTACTTTACACTTCCCAATACCAGCTGAAAGTAACCCTCACTTCTAGGGTACAACACTAGCTATTGACCAATGCAGTGGTTCGGCAAAAGGCAGACGTGTGCGTTCTGTACATAATCAAGCACATTGTTTCTGACTGAATTGGAATTTTGAAATGCTGGTTTCCAAGGGAAGAAAACCGCAGTACGCAAAGAAAAACCTCACAGAGGAAGGGCGAAGGCAAACAACAAACATAACCTACCTTTATATGCCATCACTTCCAAGAATCACGCCCGGACCATATTTGTTGGAGGCGAGGTCTCACTTTTTCCCACCCTTGCTTCCCATTACAAACACGTGACTAACCTGCACATCAGAGATTGATGATTCACTCCCTACGTCACCAGCAGAACTCGTAGTGACGTCATCTTTGATGAGTTTGTCTCTTGCAGCAGATTGACTGGCCACCAGTTCACTCAGTTTCCCCTCTGTTCGCAGTCTTTCATACTCACGCATTCTGCTCAAAGCCTGAAACGACAACACGTCACCCTAGGTAAGATCTTATAGATAGCCTAATATGATAGCTCCTAGGATATGGCAATTATAACAGTTTAGATTTGCTATCATGCTTTGGGGCCCTCTTATAGAGATACAGAAACCTTCCTTAATTTCTTTACCTTCCCCTCTTTGTGAATACTTAATAATAAACCATTCAATTAAGAATGAACTTCTACCCCAAATTCGCGATGCATCCTGTTTTCGAATAAAAACTGTCCTATGTAACTGACATTCAATTATAGGTTCAATATCAAGCTACAGTTTGATGTAGGTACAAAATTTTTCAATCTGATAATCACAATAACAAACTAAGTCTTCAAAAAAAATATACTCAAAGAGCAGTTGACTAGTTCAGACCGCTACTTGGACTTCTGTTGCAAGACAGAAGTTACGTAAAGTTAAATGACAAATCAAAGTTAAACGTCGGGAGCTCAGCTGAAGGCTAGCGGTGAAACTCACAAGCGCATTCTCACGTGGAAAGTGATGCTTCGTCACATTAGTAGCAGCAATGTGGCAGCTGTTTCAGCACTCCTGAGCCTTTATTTGGAGCGGCTGTTTTAGGCTTACCCCCCATCCCACCCAGCATTTTCCTTCTACTGTTTCAATCACTGTGACGAGTGCCTGGAAGAGGGGTACATGGCTGGCTTGCAAGGATCTGCCAGCGGTTGGCTGGCCACGGTGGAACCCTCTGCATACCCCACTTCCAGTTATGCGAAGGGGGGAGTTAAATGTATTTCAGCTTACCTTGTCAAGGTGAATAACAGTATCTCCGAGTCCTTCACAGGCAAAGGGTGCTTCCCCTGTGTGGCTGGATGTAGGCGTTGACAGAGTGCTACCAGATTCCACGTTCTCTGCGTAGTCATAGATACCTTCTGTGACAGTCTCGGCTGGAGCAACAGCTCCTTCCCTTGTCTGCAATGTAAAATGTATTCAGTCGAACCTCTACTGATGGCCACCTCTCAAGAACGGCCATTTTTGCCGAGGCGCATACATTCACTCTTGTTTTAACCCCTCTAAACTGCCCATTAAGGTCCTAAGGGTGACCAACATCAATTTTCTCTTACACACTATCAATACGTGTCCAAGAGAAAAGGTTATGAATATTAATAAAATGATCACCGAAGGGAAAATGCTTTGATCTTTAAGACAAATTCTCCCAACTATTCTTAAGGGAAATATATGGAGATCAGTGTGTATGTGGATATTGGGACTTAAAGGGTCAACTACGATAGTAGAGGCCGTTGTGGAAAGGTTTGACCGTAAAGGACTGTGTGTACATCATCCACAATTAAACCATTACGCTATCAAAGTCGAATTCACTTGCTTATCTTGAACATGTTACGCAGTCTTTCACTATCAAACTGGTTATCAGTTGGTCATCTTGAACACGTAACGAAAATAAAATAAAACACTAAAATAAGCCATGACGTTTCGTCCTCTTTTTGATAATAGGGCTTCAGAGATTCTCACGTTTTTTCTACACGCAAAAAAAGTGCCGGTAAATGAGGCCTTAGTTGCATGCATACACAGAAACGAAAACGTTACACAAAATAGAGGAGCAGAAGGTAGACTTTTTACACTCAAGAAACCTTAAAACTACATCGAAAACACACTTTGCCACTTTTAGGGTACTAACCCCTACCTCTGATTCGTCATCTTCAAAGGTCTCCACTGTTTCACTTGGAGTCAGTTCTGAGTTAGAGCCCAGCCATTCCTGGAACCGCTGTTAAAGAGATAAGAAAGGAGAAAGACGATTAGACTATGTATCTGAAACGAGGCTTTAGTCACTCGTACTATTCTGTTGAGTGGGAGTGAGGGATACAGTCAAGTCCTTCGACTCCCTCTACTCAAACCCTCGTTAACTCGAACCTCGCGCCTACCTCTCACCAAAATCGATCTCCCCTGGATTTCCCCTTAAATTCGTTTTTATATAATTTCACGCTCGATAACTCGACCCATGTTTTAAGCGGGTGACAAGTCGAAAAAAAGTGTGATGATGTCCGAAACATTACATTTATTTCACATTTCAAAACAACCGCGTATTCCTTGTCTTTTTTTTTTAGTCAGCCCAGTTTCAAATTAAGTGTTCAACCATGTCTGAATATAATCAAGCGCATTGCAGTGCCGGATCCAGACCTTGAGAAAAGGGGGGGGGGGGGGGTCATCCAGACCCTGGGATAAGGGGGGGGGGGCCCCGGTCTCCAAAATTTTTTTTCGGCCTTTCGGACCTCAGTTTGGTCTAAAAATAAGGGTGGATGGCGGGGTTGGGGGCGGGGGGGGCATGATAGTTGTATTCCTTCCCCATCCATTTCCTTATTTTCGGTTATTTGCTTCGAACTCCCGATAACTCGAACTAGAACTTTTTTCGATTTCCCTAGAAGTTTCGAGTTATCAGTAACTGATAATTTTTGCTCCAACGATAAAAACTGATAGAAATCGAGAGTAAGTCTTTTACTTGTTTTCGTTAAGTCTTACAAGAATACTTATTGCTAATGCATATATAACAGCACCTTCCGGTAATATAACGGAGCATGACATTTCTCGATTTCCAGTATATCATTTGGTAGTTTAATAACGGCCAATCAGAGCGCAAAAAGAATTTTACTAAGTTGATACAAGGTAATAGAAGTAGTTAAGCGCTTACCGCCTGCTGCAGTGCTCCTCCTTCCGCACCTACTACTGAGTCTTCAGTTAAAAATCTCGTCACTAAGTCCTGCAAGGCGTATAGAGCCCGCTGTCTCAAGTAATCTGATGTCAACAGCTGGAGCTCCCTGAACAACTCAAGCTGCAAAATAAGAAATCAAAATTTATCTATCAAAATTCAACTCTGTTCAGTACTGATCTTGCTCTTTCCCTCCACAAACGGGCACCTCTCCACAAGAGCCACTTTTTTTGGGGGGGGGGGGGGACTGGGGACAGTCCAAAAATTGATTCTCCCCAAAGTGGCCGTTGTGAAGAGGTTCAACTGAAGTACATTACAATAGAAATTGGGAACACCAAACGAAACCATAGAAAAAATAACAGTCAAGTAAGGGATATAGAAAAGCGAATGTGATGATGTCTTACCAGAAAATGAGGTCTGGACTCATTAAGAGAAATTAAGGTCGCAACTTCAGAATATATTGAATCTCTTAATGCCTCAAAGAGGGAAAACTCGCTGCCAGCTTCTGAGGCTCTGTCAGAAAGGAGAAGAGAAAAACATGATTGAGTTTCATTCAATTTAGCCTGAGAAGACAGCCGACATTTCACGACGCAAAATCTGGTTTCCCAGCGAGATGAAGTCTCTTTTCTCACGCTAAATTCCATACTAATGACGCGCCACTACTCAGATCTGGGTAGTGAATCTGATTGGTTGAAGCAAGTTTTCCTCGCGGCACAACCAATCAATAGCTATACCCAGTCCTGGGAATCGACGCGTCATTAGTATGAAATTTCTGAGCTCGCTTGTCAGCGTCATCTCGCGGGGAAACCGGTAGTAGCGTCGCGAAAGGTCGGCAGTTTTCCCAGGATAAATTGAATGGGAATAGAAAGAAAGATACGAAAAAAAATTATTACGAAAGACAATAACTTACCGATCAGGCTCTTGCAAAGAGCTACGGAGAAAGAAATTAATAAAAAAAGTGGGTTTTTAATGGAATGGCTCCAGTTATTTTCATTTAAATGCCGTCTTGGTGCAACAAATTTTGTCTGAGTTTCTTTTGCTTTACATAATTAAGAAAAATAGTTTGGCTACAACCAAAAAATTTACAAATAATGAGCCTAAATTGATTTAGGTGAAAATAAGTGGAAATTCTCCCAGTTGGCCGCTTTTTGTCGAATTTCTCCCCTACTGCTAACAGGAAGGTTGTTAGTTCTTAGTCTATTTTTTGCTTTATCAAAACGCTAACTACGGACCTTCATGTTCACATTTAATACCACATTAGTACTACAAATAGAAAGAAACCCTGCACCTTTTAGTCACATCCTGAACATCTCCTGGCACACTGGAGGCCCTTGAAGATGTCTCCACTGACTCAGCCACCAACTTCTGTACTAAAATCCCAGTGCTTTTCTGTGCTGATTTATCCTTCTGCGCAAGGTCAGCTACAGCCGAAGCCCTCAGTGGTGTGACGAAAGATCGACCAATCACATCTGTGGTACTCTCTGTTTTGGCAGCAGCGGCACTTGAGACTGTCAGTTCTAGTGAACAAGGGTTACTTTTAATTCTTAGGAAACCTTGCGACGGGGAACTTATATTACAGGAGCCGTGTCACGAAAATTATCATAATAAAAACTAGCCAAATGAGTGGCAGAAGTAAATTTAAACTGTTCAGAACACGAAAAGAGGGCATAAAATACACAGCAAATACAAAAAAAGGAGGGAGGGATAGAAAAAGTAATTTCTCAAGTTCCATAGTGAATAAGGACACGTAATTGACCTTATTAACATAATGAAGTAAACAACGGGACAATGCCCCTTTAATATTAAGAGATTCCTTGCCAATTACTTGGGGAGTACCGACATACAATTATAATCAAGAAAGACAAATGTATACTGTCAGAATGTGTAGAACAGTCAGCTCGTCAATTAGAACTGCACATTTTTGATTGCCGAGGCGGCAGCATAGTTCTTCGAAGTATGCCAGTGGCAATTCTTTACTTCAGATCTACAAGGTTTGTCAAAAAAAGTTGACAAACAACCAAAGTACACTCGACTACCTAACAGTTGCTATCCGTCTACCTCCGGTAACATATTACGCTTATATAAGTAGTCTCCTCCGCAATCGNGAAAGATCGACCAATCACATCTGTGGTACTCTCTGTTTTGGCAGCAGCGGCACTTGAGACTGTCAGTTCTAGTGAACAAGGGTTACTTTTAATTCTTAGGAAACCTTGCGACGGGGAACTTATATTACAGGAGCCGTGTCACGAAAATTATCATAATAAAAACTAGCCAAATGAGTGGCAGAAGTAAATTTAAACTGTTCAGAACACGAAAAGAGGGCATAAAATACACAGCAAATACAAAAAAAGGAGGGAGGGATAGAAAAAGTAATTTCTCAAGTTCCATAGTGAATAAGGACACGTAATTGACCTTATTAACATAATGAAGTAAACAACGGGACAATGCCCCTTTAATATTAAGAGATTCCTTGCCAATTACTTGGGGAGTACCGACATACAATTATAATCAAGAAAGACAAATGTATACTGTCAGAATGTGTAGAACAGTCAGCTCGTCAATTAGAACTGCACATTTTTGATTGCCGAGGCGGCAGCATAGTTCTTCGAAGTATGCCAGTGGCAATTCTTTACTTCAGATCTACAAGGTTTGTCAAAAAAAGTTGACAAACAACCAAAGTACACTCGACTACCTAACAGTTGCTATTCGTCTACCTCCGGTAACATATTACGCTTATATAAGTAGTCTCCTCCGCAATCGTTTTTAGTGTCATCTCGCGAAGGAGACTTAAAAATGAGCGAATTTATTAGGCTTCAAACTTTGAAACAATACACTCAAACTTGGTAACAATTTAAAAGCACAACAGAAAACACGTGCCACTTAACAAGATAAAAACATTGGTCATTTGGTGGTTTTTACAAGATACTTTCTGCTTCTTGAAATCTAGGTATCTTATCTTGAAAGACAATGGGTGCTTATCACTTAAACAAACCACCCGGGTGGAAATCTTGAGCATACTATTATCTATAAAAATTTGACACTGTGGGTGTACGACCCGATACAAAGTATATCCAAATCAGCGGAACAAACAAAAAAGAGTGGGTAATTGCATCGCTTCAAAATCGCAGCCCATATTTTTCTAGCGCCAACCATTTGATTTTCCAAGTTTAATTTTCGGTTTCCCTATGTAAATGTAGGTCTACCAAGATTCAAACACAGACGTACCTTGGTATGAGCTGGGATCATACTTCCGCTTCTGTCTAACAGTAGCAGGTGACAGGCCCACCCCTGCTGAGCTGGCACCTACTTCTCGAACCACTTTGACAGAACTGGCCAATCCTGAGGAGGTTGGGGGAGGGGCAGGTTCAACAGGATGGCCGCGATACCTAGTAGCCCTTGGACTTGGGATGCCTGTGTCTGGGTTTAACCCAAAAGACTCCTGAATAGGTTCTCGCCTGCTCCCAGACGGTTGGGTGTTTTCATTTGGTTCAGTAGTTGACGCCGTTGACTGAAAAAAAAAAAACACACAAAAAACAAAAAAAACAATAAAAAACAAACAAAAAAACAACGGTTAACTTAATATCAATAGTAATAATCAAAGGTTAGGGCAAGTTCGTGTCCCTGCCATACAAACTTTGTCGAGCACCATCCTCGCTCGCTTTGGACGTATCACCTTTAAACTTGGTACGTTTCCTAACTTTAAGTTGGTCTTTCCAGCAGTGTCGACGGGTATTCGTTTACTAGCGCCAGTTATTCGAAAGGCGGATAGCGCTGTTCATTGGATAAATAACTATCCACTGGATAGCGCAATTGGTTTCCCTAATACTTATCTGATGGATAGGGCTATCTATCTTTTGAACAACCGGGGCCTGTACCAAAACTTGTGGAAGGGTCTATGCCGTGGCCGGCATCTCTGATTTTATCACCAAGGAAGACTGGGGATGTAGAAAACAGCAACCCTTCGGGTGGGGCTGCCACGACTCCTTGATTTTTTTTAGAATTTCACATGGCCAGTACGCGAGCAAAAAGATCCGCGCACCCGACGAAAACACCTACAAAGCAGGCTTCATGAAAGCATATCTATTCCAAAGAGCGCCTTCTTTAGTTTTTCGGTATGAAGATTCAGAGCAACTAACCGGACCAACTGTAGGATGCCAAGCAGCTCTGAATACAGGTGCCGAAGAAGGAGGCTGATAAGCATTAGTGAAAGAAGCCTGACTATTCACTGGAGCCGAGAAGGGTGGCTGTTGTGGACTGTGAAATGGCAGATTCATAAACATCGGAGAGGTATTAGCTACGTTTGGGGACGCCGTGAAAGGCCTTTGAGGTGAGGGGTAGTTTTCACTGAGAGCCGAAGAGGGGTTGTATGAAAAGAGTTGCTGGAATTGCTGTTGAAGAACTGCCATGTCTTGATGCTGTTGCTGAAGTTGGGAGTAACACTGATTGAGGCTTTGAAGTATNAGGTGCCGAAGAAGGAGGCTGATAAGCATTAGTGAAAGAAGCCTGACTATTCACTGGAGCCGAGAAGGGTGGCTGTTGTGGACTGTGAAATGGCAGATTCATAAACATCGGAGAGGTATTAGCTACGTTTGGGGACGCCGTGAAAGGCCTTTGAGGTGAGGGGTAGTTTTCACTGAGAGCCGAAGAGGGGTTGTATGAAAAGAGTTGCTGGAATTGCTGTTGAAGAACTGCCATGTCTTGATGCTGTTGCTGAAGTTGGGAGTAACACTGATTGAGGCTTTGAAGTATGTGGTGCTGCTGCTGCATGTAGCGCTGTTGTTCAAAGAAGCTTTGGAGCCCTTGATACGCCTCTTGCTGTCTTTGCTGATACTGCTCAAATGGGTTACTGCCTGTAATGTGAATGCAAACAAAAAAGAAATTCGCACAGATGACAAGTTTGTCCAAGTAAAAATGATTGATATGAATCAAAACGGCTCCTGAAAAGAACATTTGATGAGAGTGGGCACAAGATACAACACACAGCAGCTTTAAAAGCTAAGAAACTTTAAAGACCAAACTTCACTGAGAGGATAAACATTTCGGCCAAAAGTCATTTTCAAAATTAAATGAGTTAAATGCAATTGAAAACCAAGCCTGAGGCGGGCTAGAGTACTGAAAAATCAACCAGAACACCACATAAATAAATCAGAGTTTGTGTAACAAAATGGCGTCTATTAAGTAGCTTTTCTTTATCTTTACACACATATACAGGAGTGCTACTCACTTTAACTGTGCACTTTTCGAAACAATAGTCACCAACTGAAAAGATGGTTATCCCACTTTCCAGCGTGATGACCTTTGCTTTTAGTAAATTTCGATTTAAGGCCGAAACAGAGCGTTTTTACTCATGTGGCCAGCATCTATGCAAATTCATTGCAACAAAAAACAGACGAGTTCAACTCCCACAGGATAGGTTTGGAACACCAACATGGTCATTATAGTACCATGACGTCATGGGAAAATGCTCTATAATGACTACTGTAAGAAAAAGCTTACCGAGACCACTCCCCGAGCTGGAAATGTTCTGGAAACCAGCCGAGCTCGGAGACGGACCGCTTGTGACATTTCGACTAATCACGGTGGACACCAGCATCTGTTGGTCTCTAAGAAGGCCACTACACAGGGTGGTAAGGTTGGCTACTTCCTGGTGGAGACGCTCACAATGCTGCTCCCAAACCTGACGCTCGATGTTAAACTGTTCTTGTTCACGATCTTTGATGAGTTGTTCAGCAGGAGTAAAATTCTAAAACAAAAAACAGCTCTTCAGTTAAGACAGAAAACCCCTCAACATACCGTAAACTGCTGTTTACAAGCTTTGGGCTTATACATCTTCGTAAGGGATTCTAGCAGGGCTAATAAACGGATGTATTCTTTTGTTTACAGGTAGCAAGAGAGACCAATGGAGAGACCTTTGACCGCGGAGTGCGGGGAATGATGAGTGGCGTGGGGTGGGGCTGCTTATGAACGGTAGTTGGTATCAAACTTCACCATCCAGGAACGAGGGTACTACATTACTCTATATGACAAACATAGTTTATGGTCTGCAAATCCCTTCACCCAATAAGCATTCTTTAGAAAACAGCCATTTCCATAGAATATCATGATAAGAAATACTACCTTTGGCCTTGCGTTAAAATAAAGTCAATAAACTACACGGATAGGTTATTAGAGCAGAGTTTAAACGGTCAGGCCCCGGTTGTTCAAACGTTGGATAGCGCTATCCATCGGATAAATCATTATCCAACGGATAAGTATTAGGAAAACCGATTGCACTATCCACTGGATAGAGATTTATCCACTGGATAGCGCTATCCAACGTTCGAACAACCGGGGCCAGGTGTATAACAAAACTAAGTTCAAGGTGTTTACACTTGGCCAACTCTCACATCTAAACATTGTTTGCTGTCAACAGCGTCAAAGCAACTCACAGTCCCCACTGGAGCCCCATTCACACCAAAGCTATAACATGTTTAAAAGCTGTTAAGTTTAACACGGTTTAAAATTGTTTTCGTTATAAAAGCGGCTTACTGACTTTAGTTTATTGCAAATCTACATCAAATTACAAAGCATGTGAAGGATGTTGAATTTCATTTGAATCCTGTGTAAAAACCGGTGTTTCAACCTGTCTGCTTTTCATTTTATATAACCTGGCTTAATTAAACAGAATTGGTTAGCTGGTGTGAATGGGGCATAGAACACTATTTATCTATTTAAACTAAACACCTTACAAACAGATTTAGAGTTCCACTGTCTTAAAGCGCAGTTGAGCATTCGTACTGATAAAGCCTAGACTATACCTCTTGCCTTATCCTTCCTCTGGAATTCCTGTCGAAGTAGAAAGTTCTGGGCCAATCTTCAAATGTCAGGCCTCTTTCTCGGTCTCTTTTACGGGCGCCGCCTGTGTGAGTCGAACAGGGAAAAGTTCATAGAAAACGCAACCCAACAAATGACAATTCAAATTTACCAGGGTGCAACAGGTCTTGTATGAATCTGAAGCCAAAAATACACCAGAAAAGGGACTTCTATTGTTATGTTCTATGTTTAAAAATAAAAAAGATAACTGCCTACATGTACTCGTACCTTCGACCACGTCCCCCTCCGCCCCCGCTATAAGGGGGAACAAAATGTTAGATTTTTTAGCGCACTTTGGAAACCAAAATCACACATCTGCTTGGATTATTATTTTAAACAATTAACAAAAAGGGTGCTGAGTCTTCATAGCTAAGCAAATATGGTACAGATTTCAAAACTTAGTCCGAGCTACAGCTGTAGTATGATCAAGTTAATAAAAAGCAATTTCTGGGGGCACAGCGCAAGATTTACTTATATGAAATGTTCGTTAAAAAAAATACGTGGCCGCAAGGAACTGTACAAGAGCACCAACCAATTGTGAGTAGACTGACCTGATAAAATCGTACCATCAAGCTTCCTCTTTTTGCTTCTGTTTGTTTGGGAGGTACTGTCTACACTGCCTCTGAAAGCAGACATGCGAGGCACTCGTTCCCTGCTCCGGAACACAGCCTCAGCACCGCCAGAGAAAGCCACTCCTGCTTCTAGCTGCTCTTCTTCTTCTTCTTCTTCTGCCTGTACAATTCCTTCAGGAAAATCATCTTCTACTTCAACCGCAATCTGTAGTAAAAGAAAACAGAAAGTAACNTTGCTTCTGTTTGTTTGGGAGGTACTGTCTACACTGCCTCTGAAAGCAGACATGCGAGGCACTCGTTCCCTGCTCCGGAACACAGCCTCAGCACCGCCAGAGAAAGCCACTCCTGCTTCTAGCTGCTCTTCTTCTTCTTCTTCTTCTGCCTGTACAATTCCTTCAGGAAAATCATCTTCTACTTCAACCGCAATCTGTAGTAAAAGAAAACAGAAAGTAACATAGCTATGACCTGTATTGTTGCGCTACAAAGCAATGGATCACAACCTGCCTCAAAGAAAACCTTGAAACATACTTCAACCCTGAGCCTATCACTCGCAGAGGCAGTTAACCAAAGGAGCTGACTAAAAGAACTCAACGCTGTAATTATTTTCACACGGGTAATTTCAAATTCACGCAAGAAGATTATTTGAAAACGAGGCTTGGTATAGAAATTTGCTCGTCTGACGTGAATATATGTCATTACATTCATGTTTTTATGAAACCGTACCTCTCCTCCCTGATTTTCATCATCAGAGCCATCAGCTGACACTGCAGAATCATTCTGTGTACTGCTAGGTTGGGTGGAACCTCCCCATGTGGCTGTAGTGATATCAGCGCTCATCATACTCACTCCAAACCCTTCATCTATATCCCCACTCCTGCCGCTTCGAACTGAGTAGGTGCCACCTTCTGACACATCGTCCAAGCCAGCCTTCTTTCGTTTCTCTAAGAACCTTTGTTTTCTTTTCTTAAGCTTTTCTTCGTGTAGTTCTCTTTGGCGTCTTAGTTCTGACCAAACTAATGCACTAGGACGAGCTAAAATAACAATTATTATGCAAAAGTGTCACAGCAAACACGCGACTAACTATTGTTACCACAGTGGCACGGTTTTTGATACGTTTATCCCCTATAGAGACAATCGTTCTCATACATGTAAACAGAGGGTTTTATCATAACAGGTTTGAGTTTAGTCAAAAGTTTACTTAAAGCGGGCCCTTAGTCTAGACTGTACCGCAACCTTTTCCAAGCTTACAAACAGAGGTTCCCACAGGTTGAGTATAGCATGTTTTAGTGTCTCTGTCGCACTCTTGTTTTAGCAAATGCTCCAGTGTGTGTATACATGTAATAAAAGTTTAACAATACACTGTAACTTCTACTGAATTAGATTCTGCACGATGATCTGATACTCTTCTTTTGGGAATACTCGGATGTTTTCTTCCAACTGGCAAGCTGCCTGTGTCACTAACTGAATAACATTTTACTTATGTATTCACCAGGCTTAAAATTCACTGCCACATTTCTATCATCTTATTTCTTAACAAAAGGCCTTGCCGGCTAATACACAGAAGAAAAAAAAACAAGACTAATTCACCTCTTGGAGGTTCGTTTGAGTCCACAGATCTCGCAGCTCTCAGATCACTTCCATAGAATGGTGTCTGAGTTGACATTTCTCTATTGATGGGCCGATGAATAATTGGTCTCTTGGAGCCATCTGCTCGACTGATAGTGAAGGTATCATGCCTGAATACAGATCCACCCGTCTCTGGCTTCTGAACCTGTGCTCGTGTGGTCTAAAATGTAACATAACGAATTAAAGGAGGTCAACAACAAAACCATCAAACTGAGCATTTTGTCTCGAAAGTATATGACATGCACTAATATTATGAGCGCGAAAAATCTTCATTAATTTGTCTTGGATCAAACTTTTTAAATACAATGTGAAGAACAACGAAGCGATTTAAGCGACTGGAGATTAGATCTAAAGCAGTAATAAACATTTCTCTGGTTAAAAACTTTAAGCTTAGACATTGGCTTCAATGAAATGTATCATTTAAGTTCAGTGTGCAAAGAAAATCAGTTCTAGAGCAAGTGCTTCAGACAAGCTGTAGCTAGCATATACTGGCCCTGAATTAATTTTGATGAACAGGATAAATTGTAGACTTTCCAAAGTCCTTTACTATTTTTCCTGGTTTGTTATGCCATTTTAAACGACTTTTAATACCTACTTGGTGTGAAATTCACCAGTCAAAAATTCTATCGGTGACGTCATGACAATTGACCAATAAGATAGTGAGTGATATTTCACGCCACTCCTGACACAGCATAATGTCAACCACTTTTTTCCCACATGAATTTATATGATTCAAATCCATTAAGGTGAAACCAGTCAACCTCGACACTTTTTTCGCTCGCTCGGTCACTGTGCGACCTCATGCATTGAAGCTCACTTCACCCACTTTTAAGAACTTATGGGAGGTCAACTCGTCCCAAGTCTAGATAAATAATTAATCACCATTTACTAATTAATAGGCCACTTTACAGTTGTGTATGGAAACAGGCTGGAGTTGACTTTCTTTTCATACAACCCTTTCTTCTTTCATATGTGAA